CGTGTCCATTCTACTTAGTTACTTTTGACTGTTAGAAGGTTGCTCTCAGCATAACTGACTCTTCCTGACTTTGGTCCCAGTTCTTCCATGAGGTCTTGTTTGGAATCAATCCATGACAACTTTCCATGTTTTTAAGATGCTGATCACTCTGCCTCTAGTTGACCTAGGCCAGATGTCTCTTTTCTTCACTAGCTGGTCCATTCTTTGGCACACTTCCCTGTCCAGGTCCCTCTCTTGACGCAAGCCCAGAACTCCACACCACCTGCTGACTGCAGACTCATCACCAGCAGAGTTCTGCCTTTGTTACAGATCACCTGTCTCCACCAATATATTACCCTAAGAGGGGACTGCATTTTTAAAATATCATTTTGAAATGCAAGGGAACTATGTAGGAGAATACAAAATAGAAACAACAATTCAGTGAACTATCACAAACCAGCACAGATCACCCAAGTCCACACGTAAAACATGCCCACTTGGGCCTGGTGTGGTGGCCTAGCAGCTAAAGTCCTCACCTTGAATATGGGTGCGGGTTCTAATTCCAGCAGCCCTGCTTCCCATCCAGCTCCCTGCTTGTGACCTGGGAAAGCAGCTGAGGACAGCCCAAAGCCTTGGGACCCTGCACCTTTGTGGAAGACCCGGAAGAGCTCTTGGCTTCAGATCGGGCCATGGCGGTCACTTGGGGAGTGAATCATCAGACGAAGATCTTTCTCTCTGTCTCTTGTCCTCCTCTCCATTTCTCTTCCTCTCCATATAACTGACTTTCCAATAAAAATAAATAAATCTTTAAAAAAAAAAACCCTCCCCACTTGTAGCTTATATCAATGATCACCCACTCTTGTCCCCACCAGTAACTTCCACTCTTTCAAGGTAATAATTTCTTGCTTTTTCTCAAATATTTTATCACTTGTATCCAGTTAACACTATAATTTTCTTGCAAAAATGGAACTATAGAAACAGGCATTCTTCTGTATCTACTTGTCTTATTCAATGGTGAGTTTGTGGGATTCATAAGCTTTGTTGTGTGTAGTTGTAGTTCATTTTTATTGCTGAAAATTTATCCATCTGTATGAAGATACTGTAGTTCAACTATTCTATTGTTAATAAATACAAAGGTTTTGCATTTATGAATAAAGCTGCTGTAAATACGTGTTTTGGTGCACCCATGCCTGTAGTTAGGTTGGGTGGACCCAAGAGAACACCTGTGTAACTTCAGTTTAGTGAACGACAGTCGTCTTTACTCCAAAGTAGATGCAGCAATTCCCAAGTTCACTAACTGTACCTCGCTTTAGGCAGAGCTACGTGCTTGATGCACACAACGTGTCTAAATCCTATTGTGTTGTGTGTGATTGTGGTTCAATTGTTGTGTGTTCTCACCAACACTTAATGGAATCAATCTCTTACTAGTTCTGATTATACAGTAGCATCTCAGTTTTAATTTGCATTAGTCCTTGATGACTAATGAAGTTGAAGCCATGTTCATGGATTTACCTGGCATATTGTTAAATATTTTTATTTATTTTAAAGGCAGACATGAGAGAGAGAGAGAGAGACTCCTCCATCCACTGATTCATTTCCCAGACTGCTGGACTAGCTCAGGCACATGAGACAGGAACATGGAGTGCCACCTGGGTCTTCGTATGAACAGGTCAAGGGTCAAGCCCTTAGACCTCCTCTGCTGTTTTCCCAGGAAAGAGCTGGATCAAAAGTGGAGCAAACAGGATTCGAATCAGTGCTCATACAGAATGCCAACATTATAAGTGGTATCTTAACCTATTGTGCCACAACGTTGGCCCCTATTTGGCATTTTTGATCCCAGCTGTTGGCACCCCCATACTCATCTGACTCATAGTGAATGCAGAGCAAAAGGCGATGAAGTCTGACCTAGGATGCCTTTTAGTCTTCTCTCCTGCATTGCCTCCATGGGTTTTGAGTCCCCAGAGCAGGTCTGAACATCCTGGATTGTGACGTTCATTCAGTGTGTGTTTGCTTTAGGCACACAGCGTCTCTAAATTGTCCCAATCCACCGATGAGGTCGGTAGCATTACTATCTGCATTTTACGTAAGAGGAAATGCATGAGGGTAGGCTAAATAGCTTAAGTTCTCACAACAAGAAAGTATATACTTTTGATTTAGACCCACATTCCTTTTCTATTATACTATCTTCTCAGATGGGAACATTAGAAAAGCACTTTAAAACGATTAAAATGGAATGAAATCAAAATGGAGTTGCCAAAGGGAGAAAAATAGCTTCAAAATATTATAGAAGATTCATTTTATAATAAGAGTTTTTTTAAAAAAATACTTTATTTTTATTGTAAAGTCAGATATACAGAAAGAAGGAGAGAGAGAGGAAGATCATCTGTACGTAAGTGAAGAGTTTTTACAAGTTAATACAAGAGCATCTATCTCAATAAAACATGCCAGTCAAAGGTTTCTGGGCTCTGATAAGCCTGGGAGCTTCTGCCTACTTTCCCACATTTTTGTCCCCTTAAAATGTATCTGAACATATTTGTGACCCAGAAATTCTGGACTGAAAATTGACCTTAACACACCTTTCCCCAATCTGCTGGACTCAAATAGACTTTAGCACCCTGAATAATGAAAATTCTTTGGAACATTCTTTGAAACATGCTGACTTCTACAAATCACTACTGCTTCCTCTGATTTCTAGTCTGGTAAAACCTTCAGTGAAGGAAAAGGAAATTAGTTTTGCCCAGACGTTTTCAACCTGACACCACTGGCATTTTCAACTCTACAATTCTTTGTGGTGGGGATGGTCTTAGGCACTTTACAGCATCCCAGTCTCCAGTCTTCCATGCCGCTCCCCCCTCCCCTACCACCCCCAGGTACTGGTCTAACCTGTCTGGCTGTTCCCCGGATGATGCTTCAGCTAAGTCTTATTGAAACGGAAGAAAAGCGTTTCGTTTCATGTTTTAGCTTCTATGTGTGGTGACACCCATTTTTTGCTGCTTTCCTACAAGGGTGTATTGGTCCATCTTATTTGCTAGTATTTCTTGTTTGTTAGGATTCCTTCTGCCTGCAGGTGCTGCCAGCACGTGCACATCCTTGATGCTTCATGTACTCCACACGAGCTTGAGTCAGCTCCTCTCCCTGTGGGCCTTTCATCACCGCAGCCACCAATGCAATCCACTTGTCCTTCCCAACTAAGCCTCAACCCTTCTCAGGCGTCTTTGCCATCTTCTCAGCCATCTCCTAAACAGGATTCAGGCCTTTCCTTTAAGCCCCACTCTCTCTGCACAGCCTTCTAGCTTACCCTGACCACACATGATGTGTGTGACAATTTTCCTAATTCCTTGAGGTCCTATTGGCTCCCCTGACTCTCAGGATAGCGTAGGCATCCTCAATGCACAGGACCAAAGGAGTCAAGTTTAGTTGCGAATGGGTCAGCAGCTACATCCATAAGACCTGCCGGATTCTGAGCAGTATAGTACCCATGGGTTGCTCTGTGCCCCGTTTCTTCCAGGGAAGCTCCCTTGCTGGTCTCCAGGCAGACACCCCCTTAACCCCTTCCCTGAGACAAGGTAGAAGAACTGTGGAAGATGCTAACTTGGCTTTTCTCCCTCTCAACCTTGAACATGATGTCATTTGCTCAGTCAACATGCCCAGGCCATTCCTGCACGATTTCTCATTCCCAAAATAAGGAGAAAAGTTCTTTTCCCTTAAGCTCAGCATTTCTGCAAACCTCAGTTTATTTCCAAGTTGTGTCGTTGTTTTTATCCTTGGAGAGGTGCCCTCTTCCCCACATCTTGGGAATCCCTTTGGGGCCTATGTTTCTCAGAGACATTCCCACCCTTGGGTGTTGCATCACTGTCGCTAAGCATTTTCTTTTTTCCAGTTCCTGTTTAGGATTATTTTAAGCTGTAGAGACAAAATTCGATTCTTGGGAATGTTTTAATTTTATGAACAACAAACACCCAAGTTGATGGCATTGATTGGAGAGACAGGACCGTGTGAAAGGAACAGTAGCAAGGGGTAGTTGATGGGACATGGTGGAGAATGGGAGAAGGCACCCAAATTTCTGGATGCACAGATGGAGGTGACAGCAGGAGGAAGCAAGAAGAGAAGGATGGAGACTTGGCTGTCTGGGAAGATGTAGAGCAAGACCTGGGCCATTTAGAGGCTGAGGTTTCCCTAGGAAACAAAGTGGAGAAGTAGAGGAAGCAACTGGGCATAAGAGCTGGGTGCCCCATAGGAGCGGCTCAACTTTGGGGACAGTCGGCATGCGGAGAGCTGTTGAAGCTGAAGGAGTAGGAGATAGTACCAGACAGCGTGGACTCAGGGGACAGCCACAGGAGGACACGTCCTGTGAAGGAGAGCTGTGTGCGTGCGTGCGCGCGCGTGTGTGTGAGAGAGAGAGAGACAGAGATCAGAGAGAGACAGAGATCTGACTACACCAGTTGAGCTTCTGGACCCAACTCTGCCTGAATCCATCAAGAACTCTCAATGCTAACCAGGGATTACTGTTTTCTCCTTAACTTTGGCCAGGTTTTAACACTTGCCCCATATGGATGGTCAGGATGTTGCTTGCAGCTGTGTAGAGTTTAGTCTTCACCCCTGTAGAAGCTAACCGGCTCCTGGGGCTTCTCCCACGGAGCCAGGCGTATTTACCACCCTTCTAGCTCTGCAGGTGACACAGAATCTGTAAGATGTGAGTGTGCCATGCAGCTGTGGAGGTGTTGACAGCAAAACCGCTCATAAAACAATCCTACGCTACGAAATGCTTTCCATCTGTTTCTGTTAAGCCACGACCACAGACAATGGTGAACCAGCAATTCCAGGTAGGGGATCTGCAAGTGGGAACCGAGCTGGGAGAAGTTTCCAGGCAACAGGAACCCTGAGCAAGGGGTGTTGGCGGGGGGAGGACCATCTCCTGGGGACTCCTTGTAACTCTGTGATCTGGGTGCTTGTGCTAAGGGGTCAGGAACGGGTGGTCTGGGTTGGCCCTAGGTGTATCCCTTGGGGGCCATTTCTCTTACCTTTCCCATACCGGCGTGGGCATGTCCCAACTTGACCACCACAGGGAAGTGCGGGGCTGTGAGCTGAAAGACAAGAGATCATTTGTTAGCATCTTAGCATCTCCGAGTGTTTCCACTGGGACTCTGGGCGCTGCAGTGTATAGAATGGTACAGTCTACTGATGTCCCCAGGAATCCTCAGAGCGCTGTGACAGATGGTCATCCTGCCATGTTTCTAACACGCTAAATGTCAGCATTTTTGGCTTCTAAAGGAAGCGTTGAGCTCTGAAAACCAGTCTGCCTGGGACCTCTACCAGCCTGCAAAGATATTTCAAGGGAGGCGAGCTGACTGGTTTCTGATCCTGACTTTCCCACTATGCAGTTTTATAAATGAAACATGACACTGATTCAAGCCTCATTTTCCTCATCTGTACAATGGGTTGATAATCATGGTACCCACATCACAGGGTCGCTGTGGAGAGGACATGCGTGTTCCCATGTGCATGGACAAGGGGGTGGCAGCTTCCCCATTCCTGGCACAGTTCTGCTTCTTGTCCTTCCTTCCCATGATACTTTAACGATCTGAGCCCTCCTGCCATCTCCGCTGTACCCTTTGAGGTCAGTGGTGGAAGCTTCTTCATAATCGTGATCTCTGTGGCACAAGCATCTCCGAGCTGCACCCCGCGGACACCGCCTTGAGGGAGCACTTGGAGTGATGTGCTCCCGTAAGGCGTTATGTGCTCGAAGGCAGCTGCCTTGCGTGGCCCCTCACGTCGTGGGCTTTTTGCAGCATTCAGCTCTCCCTCCTGGGTCCAGGCTGTCATGTGCAGTTGTTGTTGCTCATAAAGCCACTCCAGAGAGAGATCTCATCCCATTTTACACCCATGATGGTCCAGGAGCCCATCAGGGAAGGCATTATGATTGCGTTGTGATAGCCAGCTGCTGGGGAAGGGTGGGACTAAGGATCTGAACTTGGGGCGTGTCAGATCGGGGCTTGGTGTGAACCTTCCCTTTGAGGTTTAATGCAGGGCTGCCTACCGTAGCCCATGAATAACTTATTTTCTGGATTTTAGGCTAAAATTTTACCACTTAGCCTTTAAAATGAAGAAATGTATTTCTTTTTTCTTAAAAGAGAAGTATTGGATTTTGACTCTAAAACCAACTCGTACTCACTACAAAATTTTGGACAAAAATAGTAAATGCTAGCTGTAAGCAAGACGATAGCACATCCTCTAACTTCTAATGGTTGTGGTGTCTTATTGGCCAGCCTTCTTATCTCATCTTCACTTTCCTTTTGTTCTTTTGGTTTTGTTTTGTTTTACAAAATTGATAGTAGAGTGCATATCTGATTTTGTTTCCCGCTCTTTCCATCTACTATTATGCCAGGAGAATGTTCCGTTGGCCATTTGTTAATTAAATATGATATTCTGAACATCAATTTGTTTCAGAAATGAAACCTTGCATGAACAGCTGAAACCCCAGATAAACTTCTTTCTGGTCATGCTCCCTGCCCTCTCACCTCACAGGTAACCATTGATGGCTTCTATGTTTATCATTCTCTTGCATTTGTTTGCCATCCTTCTATTACACATAATTCCCAAGCAACAGGTGATACACTTCTAAACTTTAAGTAAGTGATGTCAAAGGACACAAGCCCACACCATTTTTTCCATATCATGATTGTGAAACTCACGTAAGATGGATGTGTATGTTTCTGAGTCATTTTTCTCCTGCTGTGTAGTATTCTGTTCCATGACTGCATTAGCCGTTGTCCCTGCCTTGCTGGCAAACATTTAGATGACTGCTGCTTTTCCAGTTACAAGCACCATTCCTGAAATCACCCCCTTTGAGCATGTCAGGGCACACACTTGGGAGTGGAACTGCTCTGTGTGAGCTTTGCTATATGTTGCCAGACTGCTTTCCAAAGTAGTCAGACCATCTTCTGCTCTCAGGTGTGGGGAAAGAGCTGCCAACATTTGGTTGGAAGATGTACATTTGACCAATGGGGGCAATAGGTAGTACAATCCAAGGGTATGTTTTCACCAGAGAGAAGAATGGCAAGACCCAGGCATCCACACAGGTCACAGACATCTTCAGAATGCTCCTGCTTCACTTCCACTTTATTGCAGGGTGCAGCATGATGCAAGGGTGGGGGTACCCCCACTCCATGCTCCACCCCCCACTCCACGCTCCATCCCCCACTCCTCGCTCCATCCCCCACTCCATGCTCCATCCCACACTCCGTGCTCCATCCCCCCACTCCATGCTCCATCCCCCACTCCATGCTCCATCCCACACTCCGTGCTCCATCCCACACTCCGTGCTCCACCCCACACTCCATGCTCCACCCCCCCACTCCGTGCTCCACCCCCCACTCCATGCTCCACCCCCCACTCCATGCTCCACCCCACACTCCGTGCTCCACCCCACACTCTGTGCTCCACCCCCCCACTCCGTGCTCCATCCCCCCACTTTGTGCTCCATCTCCCACTCTGGCTCTGGTCTGATCACATGCACCTTTGGACAGGGATGGAAAGAGGATAGTTGCTGGAGCACTGGTTGCTTTGTCACTTCCTCTCTGTCTCAACTTGGGTCAGTTTTTTTTTTTTTAAACCTCTTATCTCTAACCTGCAAAACAGACATGGTAATCCCTACCACACAGGATCGTTGGAGGATTAAGAAATAAGGGAAGCAAAATTTGAAAAATTATTTGAGATCTAAAGTAGGAAGTAGAAGGGAGAGGGAGAGGATCTAACTCTGGCTTTATTGGGGGTAAAGAAGAGACATAAAGGGGGAACGGATGACTGAGGAAGGAATGCTGAGGCTCTGGCCTGGCAGCATCTGGGTGAGATGGGAAGGAATGTGAGTCCAAAGGAAGAAAATCAGGGGATGGCATAGGGGGCGTGGTCAGAGGTGACTACAGGCAGGCAGCTTTCATCCGAAGAAACCTGATTGGTAACCTTACCCGACCCCATGTTACGGTGTTGTGGTTGTGGTGGAATTTCTGGAAAAACTGCCTTCCTCTCCAGCTGAGATCTTATGCCATACTCTCTGGAGACTGTGAATGGGATAATGGTGTCAGATGATGCCTGTTGGATGGTACCCTGAGCCCTGAGAATTAGAGCACCTTCTTATACTGACGACAGGAGAGGAGGTCAACAAGGCTGAACGCATGAGAAAGACTACACAGCATCCTACTGCTATTCCGAGGGGCTACACGCGAAGGAATGAGGCATGATCCAGGACCCCAAGGGGCCACACGTGAAAAAATAGGGCAGCATCCAGGACCTCAAGGGACCACATGTGAAGGAATGGGGCATGATCCAGGACCCCAAGGGGCCACACACAAAGGAATGGGGCAGCATCCAGGACCTTCAAGGGGACACACGTGAAGGAATGGGGCAGCATCCAGGACCCCAAGGGACCACACATGAAGGAATGGGGCAGCATCCAGGATCCTAAGGGGCCTCTCTGCTGGATAAGGGATCAGGGGTGTCAGACCTACAGTCCTGATACCTGGACCTCACCAGTGGTTAAGTCTGAGCTTGGGGGAGGACTTCAGGCTGTATGGTGAACCCAGCACAGAGGCCCCTTGCTTTGTTCCTATGAGACTTTCGTGTCTCCACCCCACACACCATAGGACTTCTGATCTATAGGGCTGTGAAATGATGTGGGGTGTTCCTTTAAGCTTCTGTTTTTGGGGGCTCTTTAGGCAACCAAAGAAAGCTAATATCTTTTTTTGTGTGTGTCCACTCAGAACCCAAAACTCAACGTGTGAACAGATTGTCTTTGTGGGATCTAATAGGGAAGCTGAAGGCAAGCTCTTGGGCTTGACTCCCAGACAAGCATCCTTTGCACCAAGGAATACATCCCTGAGAATCCCACACATAGCCCTTTCCCTGATAATCATCAAAACAATGATAGCAAAACAAATCAATGAGCAATAACCGAATGACAGTTACAAGATGGCTACATGCAACACACAGAAAAGGGTGGCCTGGGGTGTCTGTCTCTAAAGGGATTGTCATGTGGTTAAAGAGACAAAGTGTCACAGGGTCGGCCAGCCTGGGGAGGCTTGGAGTCATGGCCGGGTTTTCAGCAGGAATGAAGGAAGTTCCAATAAAGATGCTGAAGGGAGGTGGGGGTGGGGGAGGAAAGGCGCAGAATCCCCAAGGCAAATGATGTGGAATCTGGTGGTCTTCCCATGGTAGCTGTTTGGGCTCTAATAAACAGAGACCCTCTAAGAAGTTGTTTCTTCCATGATGCTTAATATGACTGCGTCTGTGAAGACACTGCTTCGGGCACGATTACTAAACAGAATGACATCTTTGAAAGGTGTGCCCTTCACCAGCCTCTTTAAACAAGATTGGAGGATGAGATTAATTGTCAGAAATAGCAGGAGTGGAAGCTGTGGCTGAAGTTGTAGGACACAGAAGGTCATTTTTAAAAGCTCTGAGCATTTTTAAAGAGGACATGTCAAAAGAAACACTTTGAAAATGTATTTGAAGCAATGAATTTTCCTGACATCAGGGAGAAACTTTTTTAGGGGTATATATGTCATTTTTTCCTTTGACTTGTTAGAGTTGCATTGCCTTTGGAGCCCTGGAGAGGCCGACAAGATGCCAGACTGGTGTTGGGGAGAAGGAACAACCCATTTGGGACCACAAACCCGGGGGGCTACCAAACCAAGGGGAAGAGTTGGGTTGTTTAGTGAGAGCAGGGCAGCAGGATGGCTCTGAACAGTGGTGACCTGTCAGCTGTCAGCAGGACAAACTGCCCAGAGAGAATGTCCGGCTAGAGACCAGAGCAGAATTGACTATGACAAGCTTGGTTGGGCCTAGGCTGGAGCGGGTGGTGGAGCGAGTGAGAGCACCACCAGAAATCTTCTTTCTTCCTTTAAATGTTTCTGGATCAACATAGTGACATTAAGTGCAACATACACATTCATGATGACAACCATTCATGACTTCATCAATGAGTCAAACCAGTTTTTCCATGGGCCCACCCTCATCTATCATTCTCATTGGTTGGTTCAATTGAAAAACAATCTGGGGACATGCATTTCACTAGCAGCTAGGATATTGA